AAAAAAAAAAAAAAAAATAGAATATTAACATAAATTTTAAACCAGTTTAAATTGAAAAACTTAAAGTTATATTTTATATGATTCAAGAATCAGGTGGAAAACATAAGATATCAGACAGTGACTGGACCATTGACTTTCGGTTATATTGATCTTCTGGTACAATTATAGTGTCTCTTACAAATGTAACCATGACATGCCTAAAAATATATATATAAAGAATGAATGTTTCAAATAAAATTATACTTTAAGATAATATTAATAATTAGAGGATTGATACCCAATCTGATATTAAATAACTTTTTTAAAATTTAGTATTTATTTTAGTTGTTGTTTCCATATAGGATTATTGAACATTAGAAAAAATTAAATAGTTCAGCTCCAATAATGATAGTAAGGAAGGAGTCACCTAAACACATTTTTTGACTAGAAGTTTATTCACATCTTTACTGCTAAGAATGGTTGTAAAAATAGAAAATAGCCATTTTATTAAAGGTGTTACTAAAAATTGATCATGATTAGTATAATCTGTAGATAGTGTTTAATTTAAAAAATTGGTGAATAATTTTTTTAAAAGCAAAATTAATTCTTATTTTTTGTTAAATTTCGTCTGCCATTTGCACATAAAAGATAGGTCGTTGGTACAAACTTTTCTTTTAACTTAAAGTACATAACATAAGCTTTAATTTAACATATAATTAAAAGACGCAGTATTCCTGGAACATTTTTAAAAGTTCTATTTTTTATATGTATTTTTCAAGTTTTTAACACGCCCTGTATAAGGGGAAATTGTCTGATTAAAAAAAAGTATGTCGGATGAGAGAGGTATATATAATGTATTTAGAAAAAAAAATTTGTGTTGATCTAAATATTTTTCAAAAAATTATAGCACACTAAAGTTGAAAATATAAAATCGAAAATTTTAACACAAAAGTAGCATGTTTTTAATTATGGCACACATTTGTATGTAAAAAATTGTCAGGACTAATTTTTTTTTTTTAATTTATAGTACGTAACATAAGCTTAGTTTTTAGTTGTTACAGGGAATGACAGAATTTTTTTCAATTTTTAAGGGTAATGTCTTCAACTAGATACGATTTATGATATTTTGACATATTGCTGAAAGAAATTGGTTCGGTGAGAGCTGAGAAAAAGTGACGAAAAATATAAAAATTAAAAAAAAACATATCATAGTAAAATTAATACCTTCTCAGGTTCGCATTTATGCTAAAACTGAAATCTAAACCTTTAGAATTTATTTAAAAATTATTTCAATGTTTACAACTTTCCCCAGAATTTTGAGTAAATATGAGAATAAGTATAGAAAAAATTTTAAGCTATGACCTAGATGTAAAATTTAATTTTCGTATCCTAAGTTCTTTATGAAATTATCAATTTAAATGTATTACCTATTTTCTATAATATTTCTGAAATCTGGACTTTCATTATATAAATCTCTATAATTATCATTTGAAACTACAACTCCACCACATCCATGGGCATAGTTAAGCATGATTCTGAAAAAATGATTCCAAATAAAAAAAAACTAATATATTTGAATAGTCATATTGATAAACATTCTATTGCCATTTTTTAACTTTAAAATATGTAAAAAAACAAATAATAAATTATTTAAGATATCAAAATTTTATTTACAAATAAATTTTTTTGACTATGTTTGCAACAACAGCCTTTGGTGTGTATGTAGGTTATTTATTTTTTTCAGAATTAAGGCACTAATATATACTACTTTGAAAAAAATATTTATAAAATTAATTTATAACAGTAAAAAATCTATGTAATAATGATTGAATTACCGGTCATCATAACAAGTCATGCGTATATTTTGGACTTTTCTACTTGGCGTAAAGCAAATATAACCTTGTTTATGTAGAGAATTTAAAGTGTTGTGTACTTCTGATCCAGGAGGTCCTTGTCGATGTTGTGGTATAAAAACTGTTATCTCTCTATGACCTCGTTCAACAAAATATTTAACACATAAATCAATACCCTTAACTGAAAATGTTCCTGACCCATGTCTAAAAAAACAAAATTTTAAATAAAAATAAAATTTTAAATAAAAATAAAAAATTAATCAGTGGTATACTCAGAAGTTTTCATTGAGTGTTAATATTAAAATAATTTTATTTTTTATTATAGTCTATGATTAACTTAAGCTCAGCTTTTTTAGACGTTCTATGAATATACCACCAAAATTAATTTTTTGTTAAAGAAAGTCAAAAATGTATAGACTAAACATAAAATAGATAACAAATTATTTACGCAAATCCAATGTTTAGTCCATCAATAATTACAGGTCTTAACTTTCTGTTTTCACAGGGTGATGAAGTAATAGGTTGTTGAAGACGCATGTCACTATATCCATTTCTATCATTAATACATAAACTACTATTCACAGTTAATAAAGCATTAGGAAGAATAGCGTTTTTTACTTTATTCTTAATATGACGTAAAGGACTTTGATATGGTTTTGGTCGAGTATTTGTTTTGTTGATTAAACATCCGAGTCGCTCATGAATAGGTCTTTTATTAAATAATGGAATTTCTCGTAAATGCTCATTATGTGAATTTGTATTAAGAGGTTCAGTTGAACTGTTTTCATCTTCACTATCACTCAAAACTATACACTCAATAGGTTTTTTATTTGGAGTTACAGTGGTATCGAGAATTTCAATAACTTCTATACTATTAGTATTTTTTTCTTCATTCTTTTCTATTCTATGATCAATAATAGAGCAATATGAATCATCTTTAATTTCTATAATATCAACGATGGAAGAACTAGAATTTTTATAATCCGGATTTGATTTGATTAAGATATCATTAAATTTTTGTGTTTTATCTAAAGGACTATTTTTATTTGAGTTGTCACTATTAGTGGATTCACCTTGATCAATAAAATTTGGCAAAGGGGGTTCAATAGATTTTGTATTTTCTTCTTCATTATTGGTGTTTTCTAATAAATTACATTTTTTCAATACCGTTGACCGTGTGTTACGCTGAGGTTTTTTTATATTACTATGTTTTTTAACTTTTTTAACAGAAGGATTTTTCTTTTTAGCGTTTGTTCTTGCCATTATTATGATTAATTGACACTCTGGAAACTATAACTGAATATAAATTATTACATCACACATAGTAAGATTTTAACAAATGTTTATTTCTACTGTCTCTATTATTAAATTTGTTTTATTATATTCATTATTTTAGAAAAACAATTATTAAATAAAATGTTTGATATAGAACAAGTGCCATTAGACATATCTACATAGTTAAATAAAAGTAACACAAATTCAAAAATATATATATTTTATCAACTTAACAAAAATAGATAAAGAAAAGTCTTGATATTTGATAAATGTAAAATGTTCTAAAAAATAATTTTTATTAGCATGGGGTTTCGATAAGAAGTCAGAATTTGAAGTATGCAAACTAGTATACTGGCTTGATATAGTACCATGATATATACTATTGAAATTTTACTATGACATAGTAATAAAAAATAATATATAATATAAAAAAAACAATAGATTGAAGAATTTATTTGTAATTTATCTGGAATGGTGCTCATGGTTACTTAGCAGAGAGAAATAAATGTAGAACAAAAATATTTCTCTAAATTACAACAATTTTTAATGATAATCAAAGATTTTACTTACCATTTGCGCAGAAAGGGTAAAACAGTTCACTTAATATGAAACAAATAAACTTAGTGTAACTCTAGAACTATCTTGATTTAATTATTATTCAAATGTTTAAAGAAATAATTTGATAAACAAAATATAAAATTTAGTATAATAATTATATTAACATTTAGGTAACCCATAATTTGCTTTACAATTTAACAAATTAATGAAGTTACTGGTTTGCAGAAGTGCTCTACATAAATGTGTAGGGTAACTTTTTTAGAAGTATGTTAACGTTTTTTTTTTAATGCCAATGACATTAAAACTATTAAAAATTACAACTAAGTTTAAATGTTTTTAAGTGACTGAATTTAACCTTTTAGTTCACTATTTAATAAACAAATCATTTGAATGGCTAGAGCTAACTAATTATATGGACATCTTATTAAAATAAATATATTCTTTATTACTTTACATCAAATTTATCATAATAAACCAATTAATTATGAATAGGAATGGAGGATAGACCTAACTGTAAAAAATAAAAATGTATTATAATTTTAGTTTTAATACAATATTAATACATTCATTAAATCCATGATATAAGTAATGGAATGGTACATTGAAATTCTCAAAAATAAAATCATCAATAGATAACACAATGCATCAAATTTCTTTTTTCACAGAACTTAGTATTGTAAAGTGTGGTTCTGTATCCTTTATATTTAAAATGGATAGTACAAAGAAAAACATAATGAAGTTTTGAATTAAAATATGCCACTAAATTAGTTAGCTATCCATAGTTCTGAAAAGAACTGTTGATGGTCCTTAGAAGAACCCTTTGCAAAAATTAAAAAATTGTATTATATGATGTTATTTATTAATAAGAAATTCTAATTTTAACTAGGGATTAATCTAGTCTTAAAATAATTCAATTTATGTAATAAAAATCAGAATCCCAAAATTACAATTCTTTATTTCAAGAAAAATGCAGAACACTTTAGATATATATATTTATTTAAAAAAACAACATCATACTAAGTATAATGAACAATTTTTGGTCCATTTCTTTTATTATTCATGATATTAGTATACAACCATCAAACTTTATTTAATAATATAGTCTTATAAATTGTCTGCAAAAAGAGATACTACGTATTTTTATTTATAGTTCTTAAGTCACTTATTTACAATTTTCTTAATAGATTAAGCAAGAGTAAAACTTATCACAAGTTTTGATTGTTATAAATTAGATATTATTTTAACTCTATTCTGTGTGAATACTACTTGTAAAAGAATAAGCCTTTGAATATTGTATGTGGTTATTAAAATATTAAAAAAACATAAACATTGACATAAATTCTATTAGTTTTTTACTGAATATTAGAGTTACGATATTTTAATTTATCTAGTATTAAATGATAATTTTACAAATCAGAAATATTAATAATAATATCTAAACGTATTTAGTTCAGTATTAATATACAGAAAAAAAATGTTTAAATAAATTCAATTATTTTGCAAGTACATAAATACAAATAATTTAGATAAAATATTTTGTGATCTACTTGTTTAATTAATTTTTTTTTATTATATTTAAAACAATACTCAGTAATTTTAGATACATTTTTTTATAACCGTTTAAGTAATTACCTAAGCAATAATATCCAAAAAGAAGGTTGTGTGAATCTCTACGTCATAGTAAACACTTCTAAAGTTTCATGTGATTATATAATATTAACTTTCATTAAACAGAAAATAGTATATTAATATTAAATTTGTAATGTACATAAAAATTGGCGGTAGAACTTGATGTTAAGTAGAACTCATGTTTTGACTATATATTGATAACACAAAACGTGGATTGTTATCTATTATCATCTAATTTATAACAGCTGACTACACAGTGTTAACGCCCATAAGGATAAGGATGAAATCATCGATGACCTAACAATGGCGTTGTTGTTGTCATCGATGTGACGGTTCAATGAACGAGCTGTTTGTGATTACGGCGTGACCGCCCACCGACCTACCGGGTGGGCGCCGCTGCCGCCTGTTTTATCTCTTTACGTCGCTGCTGTGCCGTCCCCGATTTCCTACGGAGCACTGTTAACTGTTGGTCGTAGTGGAGAGTGGAAACCTCGAAGGTTGGCGATTTATCTGCGCAGGAGCGAGAGAGACGATTTGGGAGAAAAAAGGGAATTGCCAATGTCGCTTGTCCTCGTCTAATGTAATTCAATGTTGGACAAAACCTCCCGACGGAGGCCGTGTAACTTGTAAATATCGTAACAAAAATATACATAAAAAGTATACATATTATACACGTGTATATACCTATTTATTCATTTAATTATTTGTGTGTTTGTATGATAATATTGTAAAATTTCGTCCGTTTGTGGATAATTGTGAGTGCCGGCTTTGTGTGTACCAGTGGTTCACTTTTTACGCCGTGAAAATATTAATTTAAGCAAAAATCACTATTTCTTATTCTATTTCTTTTAATTTATCAAAATATTTCTGAAATAGTAAAATTTTCATTAATTAATTTATTGTAGTGTATATAAATTGGCTATCTTTCTACATTGAACAGTTTATACAAATTCGACTGTAACTGATCTTAAACAGAATAGATACTGAACTAAGTAAGTCAATAAGAATTTTTTGTTATCATATTATGTTGCTTATGATAAACTTTGTTCTAAAATATTGTTTTATAACTCCTTAAAGAAAACTGCAAAATGTAATTTGTGTAACCTATATACAGAGAGAGATATAGAATTAGAGTAATATTTTTGTAAAGTGTTGAATTTTGAATCTTGCAACATTTGTTTTGTGCCTCTTGTTTTTGAAAAATTTGAAGTGTAAACCTTTTTTTAAGAATTTTTCTTTGATTAATAATTTCATATTATAAAATTATCATATTTATATTTATTTAAATTTTTAAATAGTAGTTTATAATCATTTAAGTGACTTAAGATTAGTAGAAACCATCATTGTCAAGATTAAGACTGTTGGTTATCTGAAAAGTAGAATAATAGAAATTTTACTATAAATAAATCATTTTAAAAATTATGTCAAAGGCTGTTTTATAATTCAATAATAAGGTATATAAATGTTTTATATTTTAATATTTTAACATTATTAACATTACTTAATAAATTATAGTATGAATATCTATTTTATTAATGAAATGCAATGTATCAATATTCGCTTCTCTAATGTAATCTATTAGATTATGATAAATAGTTCATAATGTTATGCAGGTTATTAAATAATAATAAATATAATAAAATACAAAATAATTAATATAAATAATTTTGGTTTTTATACTGATAAAATGTCGAGAATGTGTAATGATAGAATAAATGTTATACTATTAATTCACAGAATAAACTGTAATGTTTTTGTATGGAGAAAATAATAAAGTTAATAAGTTTTATATTTATTATCAATTAACCATGATTATCATATAATGTTTTCAGTTTGTGTTTGTTATAGCCTAGTTTTAATTTTATTTTTAACATAGGCTTTTGTAGAGCTATAAATCAGAAGCAGAAAGACTTGGACTAGCTTATAAACCTTCTCAAATAGTTTATTTTACATGGTATATATGTGTGACTTGTTAAGAAAATCCCTATAAAAAACCACTTTATACTTTTTTATTAAAAATATTGTGAAATAAATAATAAAGTAATAATGATTATTTTTTACGTTGTGTAATAGGCCTTAATTAATACAATTACAATACTGAGGGGTAACCAAGAAATTTTGGTATCTGTATATGAACACCTATAAATTCAATTTATTATATAATGTAAAGATTTATTAAATTTCTTTTTTACTATAAAAAATTATTACATTAACTATAGGAATAAAATACATAATAAAAAAAAAAAAGAAAAAAGTTTGACAACATAATGAATGCAATGATTTAACCTATTCATTATAAGTTAATATTAATTAATTGAATTAATCTTTGGCATCAATTTTAGATTTTTAAAATTTTCAAATGAAGTGGTTAGGCGCAGGAAATGTACCTGTTTCCAGCACAAATAATACAGTGTTGAATAACAGTCATTTACAAGTAAAGTATTTTTGGTCATTGAAAAGAAAACAAATATTCAATTAAATAATTTTTTGTAGGAACATCAACAACAGTTAAATGAAAATGAATCAAGTGGTGATAATGTGTTGCGACAAGTGGTACAGGAAGAACCAATCGTCAATTATGTGTTTGATTGTGCTTCAGGAGAATCTCAAGAATATGGAATACAGTCTACACAAATACAATCAAAAGTTCCACAGCCTAGATGGCCATCATCTGCTGAAGATTGTTTCTTAGAACAAGTAAAATTCTAATCATTTTAAATTATAGAGTTATCATTTTTATTAATTTAAAAGTTTTTATTAAACAAAAATGGTTTAGAAAATATTGAATGACATATTATTTATGTTAAAGATGCAGGAGAAATGGAAATATTTCTCTGCCAAAATGTCACAACCACCACCCCAAATTTCTGAAGTACCCAGTGTACAATATCAATTACAACCAATAATAGTAAAAGTGAGCAGTAAATTATGAAAAATAGATTTTTTCAAATATTTCTATCAATCAAAATTTTATTTGAATTCTTTAATTTTTTTGTTTGTCGATTATTAATCTTATTAAAATAAAATTTAGTTTTTTTGTTTTGGCTTTAATTAGTGTGAGTATAAAGTACAGCAATAAAACTTTCGTAATAAGTTTTAGTGAAAATATTTGTTGCATGTTATTGCTATTATTAAACATTATTGTTTTGAGAAATTATTTACAATAATTTCTGGTAGTTAAAAATATTATAATTTCAATTACTTACTTGCATGTTTAAAAATGTATGAAAAGAAACTACATTGAAAATTCATAAATACAATTCCTATTAATTAGAAAGAAAAATCTAAGAAGAGTTATTAGCATTCTGGAATTCAAAAAAATGTTTGTCTATATATTTTCTTATTATTTTCATATTAGTTTTTTAATATCTATTTATGATCCCATTATTATATTTGAAAAAATATTCTATAAAATTGTTCATTAAATTGTTAAAATTATGCTATTTTCATCATCACAATTGCTATGATTGTAAAGTTTAACATAAAATTATAAATAAATATTTGTGCATAAATTTTATTATTTTTTAAATCTATAGATACTTAAGTACATTGCACAGTTTTTTGGCTTAATACTTCATAATTAGTTTTAAAAAGCTACATTTATAAGGTTTCTGGGTTGGTTTGAAAATTAAAGTTCTATAATCAAGCATGTTTTTTATTTAATTTTTCTATGTGCCTCGTATCAACTTTATCAATTTCTTATTTAATATGTATTTTTAACTTCACAAATCAATAAGAATTGTATTAATTACTTTGTATTATACCTTTTTTGCCAGTGTTTTTAGTGCTTTTGTTTCAAAATAATTGTTGAATATTTTATTATATATAATGATAAATGTGTTTATTTATTTTACACCAAAGTGTATTTGAAAATATTATGTAATTTTTTTAGTTTTACAATTGTTGTAAAAGTGCTTTTCTTATAGTAGTTGTATTCATCACAATTTCACTATTTATCAATTAATTTAATTAATCTGTTTGATCAAATTTTAAATTTTTATAGTATCAAAATGTTAACTAAAATATGTATTAATATATTTTCATTTTTGAGAATTTTATAAAATTCAAAAAATTTATTTTTGAACAATTTTTATTTTACTTAATACATATAACTTTAATGTTATATGTTGAAGGATAATTATTAATTACCCCATATACAATTTCTTAAAATCTTTCTATAATCTCATTTATTTGTGTTGGTAGGCCACAATGGCAATTAAAACGGTTGAAATTCTTATTGTCATAAAATTTGTTGATGATAACATGTATTGTAAATTCCTAAAAGTCTTTAACTCATATTTTTGACTATTAAGTTGTGTAAAAAAAGTATAATGCCTTGTCTTGTATATGAAATCTGATCATTATAACTTATTTGACTAAAGTAAATTAATTATTTCAATATACAATAATAAGTTATTAAAATATATATCAGATTAAAAATAACTCATCTACTAGAGAACTAAATTTTTATTTAACTTGTTAAGAGACCCTTTGCTTCGGAATATTTTTTTACTATAGTTTTCCTCAATTAAAATTAAAGCTAAAAGTAATACTTTTTTTTTTGAATGCTCATGTTCAATAATATTTCTTTTAAAATAGTTAAAAAAATTATATTCACCCTAATAAGAAAGATTTATCTCCTTTTTTTTATATTAAATACCAAAATTCTTTTGGTATTTATTCTTTTAATTATTAGTAATTTTGTCTTCTTCTTTTTCCTTGCCTTAATTCAGACTACTTGGGGTTGGCTACACTTATCCTTAACTTCTACTTGACATAATCACCCACATCGTCTACGTTCATATCAGCCGTTCTCATATCGCATTCAGTACATCCCTTTATCTCTTTTGGTCTTCCTCTACTTCTTCTTCCTTCAACATTCATTTCTATAACTGTTCTTACAGCTTCTGATTTTTCTCTTCTCGTAACATGACCAAACGATCTAAGTCTATTTTGTGTCATTTTATCAACGATTGATGCTACACCTATACTCCCTGTAATATATTCATTCCTTATCCTATTTTCTCTAGTCACTCCTCTCATCCATCTAAGCATTCTCATCTCTGCTCTACTTTCTTGTCAACCGCCCAACACTCTGAATCATACATCATAGCTAGTCTCACTACAGTCTAATAGAATTTACCTTTCAGCCTAATTGGAATTCTTTTATGACATAATACACCAGATGCTTCTCTCCACTTTAACTACACGCACTTAATCCTGTGTCTTATGTACTCATCAATACCACCGCTTTTTTGCACAACTGATCCTAAAAACTTTCCAACTCTCCTATCACGTACTGGCCTATTATCACTGAACACTTCATTTTACCTACCTTGTGTTCTCTTTTATCAAAAACTCGTTCTCTATATATTCTGCCTACTTATTCTTAAACCTTTTTCTTCAAGAGATGTTCTCCACACCTATTAGTTTCCTCCCTATGTTCTATAATTAACACTATCGTCAGCGAACAACATGAACCATGGCATCTTTCCTTGTATTTTTCTAGTAATTTCATCTATCACTGTAGAAAATAAGTAAGAGCTTAAAGCAAAACCTTGGTGCACTTCTACTTTTACTTTAAGACCTTTTGTTACTCATACATTTTTTACTCTGGTACAAGTGTCATCATACATAATCTCTATTATATTAAAGTACCTTTTCGGGTCTCTTTTTCTCATGATTGCCCACTTTCAAACCTCTCTTGGTACTCTATCATACGCCTTCTCCAAATCTATAAATACTATACATAGATTTTTCTTCTTTTCCCTAAACTTTTGTATTAGTTGCCTTTCACAAAATATTGGCACCATTGTTGACTTACCAAGCATAAATCCAAACTGGTTTTTAGACACCAATGTTTCATTTCTTATTCTTAGAAAGTAAAATTTAGTATACCATTTTTAAAATTCATAATACAATTATTTTTTAATTATTTAGTAGTCTTTAGTCTAGAAAAGTATTTTTAAAAGATCTATCTCATATTATTAAAGCAACAATTTAATAACATTTAAGAGTATGTTAAGTATTTTATTTTTTTTATGTAAACCTTTTTTGATTTATATATAAAATATTTTGAATGATTATTTTTTTAGTCAGGAGAAGGTGGTACTGAACAGTATGTATTTGGTGCACCTCCTGGATTGCATCCTTATCAACAACATATGGCAGATTTAGCTAGTTCGTCAATGGCTCATAATTCAACTCATACAATTATTTCTACACAACAACAGCAACAACAACATGCTATGGATATGCACTTGCGAAATGGAGAAGTGAGTGAATTTTCTTAGTAATATTTTACAATGAAAATTTTTACTTTTTTCTAAGTGACTATTTGTATTATTAATTGGCACCTTTAACTTACCTGGTATTTTTAGGTTTCTTGCTAAGTTTCTTTCCTTTTTTTATAATAAAAATCAAATATAAAATTAATGCTGTTTGTTATTTTAAAAGTATTAATTAATATATTAAATAATTAAATGATACATTATGTAAAGTAATGGTAAACTTATTATAACTTTGTTAAAGAAATTAATATAAAATATTTAGTTAAATAAAACAACTCTTTCAAAAATAATAATTTATAGATTTAAAATTTGATGTGCCAAGAATTAACTTCAAGCTACACAAAATCTAATTATTCTTAATTATATATTCTTTAAATTAAAATAAAACATTCTTGTTTCAAACAGTTATTTAATTTTGCTTAATGAATTTAAAAATACACTATTTCATATAATATTATGAGATACTTTTTTTTTGTTATTATGTTAAAACGTTGGGAGATAATTAGTGATACTAGTTATGATTATTTTAAGATACTAATTTATTATTAAAATTATAATTTTTTAAATATAAATTTACTAATATTCAATACCAATAAAAATGTTTCCTTGCACCCTCCCAGATCTTGAAATATGGACATGGATATACTTATTTTTTGATACAGGCTAATAGCATGTTCATTGTTTGTGTTCTACCTAAATTTGAGGTTTAATTAGAAAAATATGTCATAAGCAAAAAAGAATCTTAGGATTTCACCGAATTTCCAATAGACTTCAATAACTATGTAGTCTTAGAATTGAATTATTTGGATCTAGGACTTGTCTATAACCAAATAAGAATAAGATTATTTTGTGTTCTATTTTTATTTTAGTTTTTAAAAGTTAAAATTCAGTTTTAATTTATAATTATGGCACTTTAAAATTGTAATGAAAAAAAATTCTTATTTATTTTTAAGTATTTCTAATAATACTTTTCATAGCAATATTTCTTAATATTTAATTTTTAGTTAATTAAAATTTACATTAGAAAAATTTAGGATTTAGATACTCATAAAAGTTCCTATTAAATAATTAACGTTTATTTTTCCAATTTTTCGGTGTATTTTTTTTTATGATTTTCTTTTCATTCCTAGTTAAACTTGTAAGCTGCAAACAATGTCTATTAATTTTTTTATGACTAATTGTTAATTGAATGATATATATATATATATATTGGTTTCTGCATATTTTATTTAAAGTAATTTGTGTATGTATATGTTTATGAAGCACCTATTACATTCAATCCATAGACTGTTATTTTTACTTGTGAAAATATGGTAATCTAATTAATGTTTATTTTTAAAAACAGGAGAAGATTTTTGATGATAAGATTATTATCAAATATTTATATCATGCTAAGTTTATTTTTTAGTTTTTTTTTTAAGTCATTAAAAATTATCCCGAAAAAAATTAACCTTAGTATCCTTTAATATATATAATTGGTAACCATTTTAACAGATTAATTCTAGATTTTATAATTTAGTGGTATTTAAGTTCTAATATTAGTATTACAAAAAGAAAACTTGTAAGTTGATGGAAATTTATTTAATAAATAATCTTATATACTTATTATTATATCTCCAGTGATATATATATTTAAACATGTGAACTTGTACAAGCAATTAAAATTAGATTGCTACTTTTATATTGATAATCTTTAAACAATACCATTAATCTATATTCTATTGGAGGAAACTCCTTCCTAGATAATAGAAATTATCATCTAATGAAAATGAATAGTGTTTATGGAGTAAAAATTTTCTAGGACGTTTAATGACTTTTAAATAATTTTGCTAAATAATAATAGTTAAAAAAATTAAAAGTCGTTAACTAAAAAGATTATTCTAATTTTTATGGAATAAATAAATACAATCATTTGATTACATTTTTATTTTCTTGTTTTTATTCGTTGAATGAAATCATTTCAATAATTATCTTGCTAAAATTTAATAATATTTACTCTAAAATTCAAGTGTAATATAGTATTTTTATGTATTGGATATTTTTTATGTCCCATTTATTTTAACGGTTTTCTCAATGTGTAATTTTCGTTTTATTTCTATATTTCGTAGCTTTTTCATTGTATATGGTATTTTTGTTTTAACCAAAACATTTTAAATTATAATTACGAAGTTTTTATTGAATTCATTTCTAAATTATACATTTTTTGTATTATATCAAAAACAATTTTGTTTTATTATAATTATTATCAACAATACTCTTTTATTTCAGAAGTATTTACTACGTAATAACAAGTATACTTAATTTTTCATGAAATTTTTTCTCTTTGACTATTAATTCAAAGCCGATTTGTTAATTTTATTAATATATCTTCCTAAAATCTGAATGTGTACCGTTTCTTTATTTGAAGATAAAAATTTTGTTTTTTTAGTGCGCGTTATGTAGAAGGCATAGAAATATACCAATTTTAGATCAATGAGTTTTATACAACCATAGGGTATTCGATTTTATCTATAAACCTCCTCATCAAAAAAAGTTAATTGCTGGTTTTTCTATTTGATTATTGATGATATAATACGTTTGGTAAACGAATAAGTAATTAGTGCAATGCGGGGTCATCTATTAGCTATTGTATAGGATTATTTGTTTAGTGTTCACTAAACATAATAAGTATTAAATGTCGTCGTCATACGCTTAGAACAAACAGGGCTTAGGCTTCGGATGTCTTGTCGGTGTTTAATGGGTTAAAACCGCTAACTACTGCGTAACTCGTTATATGCCGGCGTGAGGAGCGCTAGTGAGGTAGCAGTCGCCGCATTGCTTCTTGCCAGTCGTCGGTTGTGTTAGTGCGTGTTCGTGATAGCGTGCGAAATGTTGCGTCGGCATGCCCGTTAAACGTGTTTTTTAGCCGGTGTTAATGCAATAATAGTATTGTTTTTGTTATCTTTGCTATTGATTGGTCGGGCGCCCGCAAACACCGATCGGCTCGTTTTGTAAATAGTGTATAATATTGTTTCGGTCCATGTGAGTGCATCCTTCTTGTGATTCTGTGTAGTTGTTTTAAATTTCCTTAGAATCGAATCGTTTGGTGTCGACTGAGTAGCAAAATACAATATCCTGTTTGCTCCGAAGAAAGAAATTTTTGCCAAAACACGTGTTGTGAGACTATGAGAGATATGAGCACCACTGACATGGTGAGTTATGTTCTAGGCGGCGTGGTGGACAGTGTGGTGTCCGCACGGTTGTTGTTGTTGTCTGCGGCCGTCGCTTTTGTTCTCAACAGCGCGGGCGCACACACGCACTCGCATACGCTTACTATTTAATACATGTATTTTCCTATGAACTGAGTCGCGCGCCAGACCAAAATATTCAAGGTTATGAAAACGGCTATTCGGTTGATTTGCACGCGTGCAAAATGCTTTTGGTCTTAGCTTTATTTTATTCGTTTGTAATTTGTCCATATTTAATTACTCATCAATATTTCCAACAGTAATTTAACCAACTATTATGCGAAATTAGTTTTTTTTTTATTATTTGAGGTTAAATGCAGAGTCGGCATATCCGCCTGTCACCGTGCAACACCAATCGCACACATGTTTTTTTAACTCGATTCGTATACCTGCATTATGTTTTGGTTTATTATTTGTTATGATGTCAAAAGAATTTCGTTCCTTTGACTTCGTTACAATACTGGTAGTTTTAAAGGCGAATAATGAGTTTTGTTAATCTTCAAAAAACATTATTCTTAGTTCACTTGGTGTGTCTTACAATTTGACAACCCATAAATTATTCGAAGGTATTCAGTATAACAGTTATATTTAATTTTAAATCCAATGATTTTATAATTTCATAATTTTGGGGGAGCTTTGCCTAGTCTAAATCCCCACAATGAGCCTATGAATATCCTTATTTTAACAATTGTAGTTTAAAATTTGTATGCGTCTTTAATATTCTTTAATCTGATATTTACCCAGATAAAATTAATACATTTGAATTTATGTGTAGGTAATTTTCATTCCTTTGCCTAATCTTTTCTAAAGTGTTAAGAATAAGTTAAAAATAACATTATTTTACTTAATATTAAAAATAGTTTTAATTTTAAGAGATATTAGTAGCTACAAGTGATCAATTCTTATTTTATTGTAAATTTTTTTTTATTAACGAATTGTTTAAATTATTGACATCAAAATCATTTATAGAATTGTAGCCAACTATACCTACTGTTAAGTAATGATTTAAAATATTTTGGTTTTAATTGATGACTTGTGAAACACTGAGTGTTTTAGTTGCAATGATATTTCGTACTTCTTTTTGTAAAATTTGATGGAATTATTTTATCAAATTGTATTGTACGTAATTTGGTTTATTTTTGATAAATTATATTTGCCAACTGAATATATACTTTTTTCGAATGTTATTGCGTAACTCGGAAAACCTTGAGGGTTTTCGTGTAGTGTACTTCACTAATACTTGGCTCGTTGAATTAAGTTAACGTTGTATATTTTTCTTTGCAAAACAACAAACGAGTGCAATGTTATTAATTGTCAAAAAAAAAACCAGTTTTTGATGTACAAATTATTCTCGGTAAGACACAGTAGCAAATTAGACATTTAAATTGTTCCCATAGTAAAACCAATAAAACAGAAATTACTTGAATTTATTTCGTAGATAATAATTGATCAATTAAATGGAATTTCTTGAATAATTCAAGAAAAATAATTATTCTCGTTTATCCGTTCGTTGACATTTCATCTACCGAACGATCTATTCTGAGATTTTGATATATTCTATGATGGAGATCTGAATTTATTATGTTGAGTAATAGATGGTTATGGATAGAAATTGAATAGAATTACAATTAAAGATGCGTAGGTTGAAAACCAGATTTACTATCTTGTTACCTGCACTGTAGTCATTTTTTTAATTTTCTGGTGATGAAATGAGGACCAGCTTTTGTGTTGTTAGTAACACGTAGGTGTCTAGTTTTA